TTCTTCTGTTTTATCCAAACGGGCAACCAAAACCGGCGCACGAAAGTGCATGGTTAATGATTGTAAGAACTGAACATAGGTTTAGAACAATCCTTCAAGAACACATTGTCAGATTGGAGAATCAAACTGAGGGGTATATGAATCACTTGGTTATTAAAAATTCATGAAAAAGAGTACCTTCAACGATTGTTTTCAAAGAGGGGACCATGAACCGGTATTTCATACCAAAATTGCGGGAACTGTAACTGTAACTTTACACAATAAAGTGTATTGGCCTTAATAAAGACAGCACTTACCATCATATTTTGGTCACTTGAGGAGCCAGTGGTACCCGGTGCAGGAAAGGCACGAAATGCTTCAATCAGACAGTTACGATACCAGTCAATGGGAGAAGATGAGTGTGAGGTGGTACTGCGAGACAGTCCAGCAATGGAAGTGTCATGAGATATTGAATTTCGGATACCACCGTGCGATCCACAATGCGCACGGCTAAATCCAAAAGCATCGGTTGAGTCAGATGTGGTGGTTCCCTGGAACTCCAGTCCACGAACAGTATCGACACCAGCAAAGCCGCTACCACTATTCACAAGCACACCCAATCGATTGCGCTGCTCCCGTGCAGCTGCTAGTTCAAATGCTGATCGTAGAGTTACACTGGCTAGTTCGCGAGTGGCAGCCTGTAAAAGGAAAAATACCATGACGGTAAATAGGCGATGGTAAACAACAGAATCTGGGAGATCATACGCTAAACGAGTTCAGACACTCGATTACAGATATTACGGTCCTTAGACGCTTATAAAGAGTCAAAGGATTCTATGCGAGCTTCGATACGTTTTAGGAGCATCTGAGGAAACAGAATGAGCACAGTATAATGGAAAGCAACGGTTATTGTGAAAGCAATCGACATTGTTCCAATAATTAAGCAAATTTCAGCCCCAATAATTCATATTGAGTTACGTTCAAGAAGAGACCGAGTACATCTACACATCATTGTATTATCGGGTCTTATATACTTTCCGTTTTCATGAACATGGACTCTGAATATCGCTCGCATTTATGGTACAGTTGCAACATTCTTAGTGCACTTTAACCTGAATAAGTCAATATTTCTATGCTGCCGTTATCGCTTGTCATACTGTTAGAAATGATCAAAATAAGGTTGTACGTCAACTTTAACTTAATGCTTTTTTGTCCGTACGTGTTCCTGCTGGAGCCATCCCACAAATTTGGTACTGACCTCAACCACGCTGTTTCATCCCTTCCGCGTGAATCGAATTTCCGTCATTTTATTTTTGAACCCAAAAAATGGGTAGCAGATAAGAACCGGACTATTCTCTCAACTGCCTGTGTAAATTGCTTATTTGTAAGTATGTATCGCGATTCAGAATTGGTTGTAAGGCACCTGGGCTGTCTTCTAGTATGATTATGTCGTCTGCGAATTCTAAATCATCTAGGAAAATATCCGAAGCTAGTTGGACACCAGAGTAGTCGAAGCGACCCGATNACGGGCAAATAGGGCCAATGGCGTCAAAACCGCAGGAATGTCCTCCATCTGTGTAGTCTCGCACGTGTAGGTGATCTTACGAGACTGCTAAGTATATATCATTAACTCGTAGAAAGGCCAATAAAGAGATTCAGTTGATATCCAGCTGTTTGTAAACGGCCGAATGCATATATCACTGAGACTCATGGTTGACATGAGCACAGTAAAAGCAAAAATAAGGATGTCGGGTTAGACACTAATCTGTTAGATATATTGGTTTGATGATTCATCAGAAGGCAACAATTAATGAGCGGGAAACAGAACCAAGAGGAACAGAAAACGTCAACTTTATTACTGGTAAATAAATCGCAGAGTTATTCAAATGAATTACTCAAAAATTAGGACACGGCTCGATTAATAATCAGATACAGCATTCTATCTCTTTGATGCAACTGAAATTACTCACATTTTTGTCCCGAAAGGCAGACACAATAGCGCATACGAATGCCCCAAACTGTTGAAAGAAACTCGTTGGTGCGTTTAGGACCAATTCCCTGAGCACTAATATCTGAAAATGAGATCAGGTAAACAGTAGGAAAACTGATTGTAAGTGATTGTCCGATCACGTGTTTGTGTAAACCAGTAAATGATACAATTAAAGTTTACCGAATTGATTGAAGAACTTGCCACTGAATGCATATGTGGCGATCAAAATAGCTGGTGATTACTGTTTGGCCACTTCAAAAGCACTGATGATGTCACCTCGGCTGGTGATGAAACGTTTGCAAACAAATTGCCAAGCTCCGGCGAACAGGCGCAAGGGAAATCAGATTACTATTTTACAAGAAGATAAAATATGATCATAAACATCATCATCATCATCGCATAGCGAAATACAGTGAAGCGAACTTCATTGAACGCTGCCAAGCTCGCAATGCATACGTTAGTGGTAAAATTTAGGGTGGATAGGGATTGGATCTATTTTGAGGGAGGGAGAAGAAGGTGAACCACTATGGTAAACACAGTACACAATCGAACTCTACATACATACCGTTTCAGGCATTCTGACCTGATAAGAAACGACAACAAGAACGCCACTGCTGCCAGTTCGCTGCCATATCCTGCAATGTCTCCAATCAACCAGTTGTGGAGTCTTTTGGACCTCAACCTGGAAGGCGAGAGACACCTACTCTACTTAATGGCTCTGTGCATTTCTTCATGCCCCGTCTCCACGTCATCTGTTGACCTCCACGTGGTTTTCTCCAGTCCGGATTAGCTACAGCGAATAAGGCGCGGTGCGGCAGACAACAGCTGGGCATACGCAAAATGTGTCCTAGCCAGCGAAGTCTACTTATCTGAATTCGGTGTGCCAGCAGGTTTATACCTGATAGACTCCCAAACACACGACAGCTTACCTCCACGTTACTAACCCGTTCGCTCCATCCAACATGGGCTAAACTGCGTAAACACCGATAATTGAAAACTTCTAGTCTTCATGTTGAAGGCTCCCGGATTCAGTGATTGACGAGGCTTTAGAATTTGCGATCCATTCCGTGGTAAATCACTTACAGTGCTATTTGGTAATGACCTCTGGTGAGCGACATCCAAGCTGCTTGAGGGATTATTACAAGTCGGGAGAAGGGGTAAAGGGAGAGGGTTGGGAACGGAAGACAAAGAGTTAAACAAAGGTTGGGATATCTGAGCAGTAGCCCACTTATC